ACATTTACTCTACACATTTTCATTGAATAATTTCAAATGTTACAAAATAAGAGCATTCATGCGCTCCTAACTTGCGCCGATCCGGTAAACCGCGTGTCTAATCGACTGTCCGGCGATTTGTCGTGCATCGCTTAACAATAAGCACACGTAAGTCGTTCTGTCGCAGTGTCGGTAATATCGTACTTACTCCACTAAGTAGAGGAGACACTTGAATTTCACATTGTTGGCGATATATCGAAATATTAAGTCCCTCTAGTACTGCGAGAACGCGAGGTATAAACTACATGAGTTACCGGGTGATGAATTAAAATGGTGTTATATTAGAAAATGAAGACCGGGGCAACGAGAACCATAATGTTACAAATAACAGAAGTAGACATGTGTAATCTACATAACTAAAGACATAATTAAGAAGTAGCAAGACTAAGCGATAATCCACTCAATCGGCCATGGATTAATTCTCTTATTAAGTTACTAAGCTCATACCTAATTGTAACACCGATATTTATGGACTAGTTTTATTTTATTTTCTTTATTTATAGTAGGTACTTTTATTAATTTATATTAGACCTTCCAAAAATGTTGTGTCATTGAAATCCGGTTCACGCGAAGTACAGAAAAAGCCTGAAACAGTTTTAGGAACAATAATAATATCTTACAAGATGCATAAGTATTTTATTATGCAAAAAACTTTATTATAGTAAATAAATTATGGAATTTCTATAAAAGAGGTATCTATTAAAAATAACGTACTTAAAACATTAATTAAATACGAAAAGAAACTTGGCTGTCGAGGTTATTTTGGCTCGTTAAAGCATTCTAACTTGAAAGATAAAACATTAACTATGCTAATAAGAGGAAGTTGTTCATTATAAACTCTAAGAATCTTTCAACAAATTATTTTTAAATGTTGATGCAAAATAGATGTTGTTTGGAACAAGTTTTCATCTCTTCTTTCTTAAACTTCCTTAAAATTATAACCAAACCAAGGAAGAGCATTTTTTAAACCCATATTCAGCGTGTTTTTAATTATACATAATTATTACACATTATAGATTTATTATTTGAACAAATTAGAAACTCAATCGAAGTCTTTGAAGCAGAATTTGTTCTTGAAATCCACAGGACTTATGAGTCTTCGCTTCACAGGCCTCTTCCTGCAAATAAACACGAAAACTCAAAATCTTTAGCAGTTATCTGTTCGCCATATAACCAGTATCTATACCAAAAACTGTTATTTTTGTTGCCATAACAATTACCTAATTAATTCGACAAAATTATTTAACAAGTCTGGGTAAATGCTTACAATGGGCTCTAAAAGAAATGGATTCATTTTGAAGTCATCGTAGGTCAAAAGGTCAAGCAAAGTGTTCATGAAAATGTGAATGAACTAAGAGGCGACTCTTGCGTAGCGTGCGAAAGAGATCACTCGCGCGATAAGAACCAAGGCCAGATCATACCTATATTTATATCTCTTAAAGCCACGCCTGGATTATGTGTTTATATGTAAATGATGTGTTTTTGCACAGTCCTGTTGTTTTTTTTTAAACATTTTAATGGTGGTCTTGTCATTAAATCCACGTGTTGATGTCGGAATATAAATTGTACCGAAAATATAAAGAAAATTAAGCACCATGGACAAGATTATGAATCATTTTAGGATTTCTTTTAAACACATTAACTGCTACTAAACATGTTCTGAAGAATTCTGTAATTGCTAATTGCTATACTTAGAGCATTTACTTTTTTTTTGCGGGTGAAAATCATCCAATGACTTCTACCGCCTGGGTGAGGCGAGAGGGAGTGAAGACATTTTTACTTAGACTGTAGATTGTACTAAATTCTAAGTACACTGCAACCTAGTACCTGAATAAATTAACAATAAGTTAATACAAATTCTATATAGCTTAACAATTCTAGAAATGATTCTGGCACACTAACAAAATCATAAAAGGTAATAACAACATCGAGTAACGGCAACATGAGTAATAAGGAGTATTGACCCTCATCTTTTAAGGAGTGAGCGGACTTATCACATTCTCTCCTTTCCTGGTAGCCAGTTAATCTACCTAAATATAGAAAGTGTTACTTTTATTATGAAAACAAAGGTCCTGTTTTTCTTTTTAAAAAACTAAAAGTACTAATACAAAGCGGACTGTATGAACAAAATGTATCACACCCAAAAGGACAGCAACACCCATGTAAATTGTAACACACTTAACAAGCACGGCTCCGGTGCGGCTCCGGCACGGCTCCAGTTCGGCTCCAGCACGGCGTTTGTTTGCTTTGGAAAAATACAAAGAGGTTATCGACGCGTGTGTGGCGCGCTTTACATATACAGCTTTTTTATATTTACGTTGTGAAATATGTCATATGACATAATAAGTAATTGTTTATATTTAAAAGACAAGTTAATTGCTGGGTTGGAGCTGTGCCGAGGCTGTGCCGGTTAAGTTAATTGTGTGTAACCTTTACTCATATGATGTTGCTCAGCTGGCGCTGAACACTTTCCATCAGGCGATCCCTGTAACATCTGCTCTTTTGCCCCTGACGCCATAAAAATCTTTAGTTACAGAAGATGCTTATCTCTACACCTTGTCACGGACTAATACATAAATGCACCTGGTTGCAGATATATATAATTATCACAGGAAAAATTAAGATTGGCGTTGATTATTATTCAAAAACATCAAAAATAAAGAAATTGAAATATAACGACCATAAAACAAACATGGCGACTTTCCTATCAATTTGAAAAAAGAACAACTGTAGTGAAGAAAGCGGAAAGGTTTACGCGAGTGGGTGTCGAACGTGAGGTTATTGCGATCTACGTACGTGACAGCATGCGCTTGGGCACGAATTGTTACCACTCCCAGGAGAGAACTGCTATTTAGGTAAACAGGTCATTGTTTGTTTACATTGGCCACGGCTTTTAATTCTCTAGGGGGTGAACAGAAGTGTGCGATGTCAAATGTAACACCCACTTTTTATTAGTTATGTCATGTCTCTTGAGTATGAGCTTTTTGATATATATCAGGTAAAATACGAGACGCTAATGCTATTATGAGAACTTTTCAAAAACCTATAAGTGATACTTGTATGGCCTTCTCCCAATCGGACCCGAGACCCTTCGAATCTGATCAAATAACATCCGATGTACTTAATTGTTTGTTCACATTACAAATTCTATTAAGCTTTTTGTAGACTGCCTCGTTGACCGAGTGGTCGCAAGTATGACTGCCAGGCAAGGGGTCTCGGGTTCGATTCCCGGGTCGGGCAAAGTATTACTGAGTTTTTTTTACAAATCTCAGTAATAGCACGGAGTCTGGAAATGTGTGTGTATATGGCAATAGGCTCACCCTCTATTACATGGGACTCATAACATAAATAGTGAAAAGTGGGTGTTACCTCCGTGTGCACCTCTGCCTACCCCTTCGGGGATAAAAGGCGTGATGTTATGATGTTACTTTTTGTATAAACAAGGTTTAAAATTTAATATTACAAAACGTTACTTTCATTTCTTAACTGCCCTTTCACACGTGCGCCGTAATCGTAAATCTTTGTACACGTGTTTTTGTTTGTTTAACATTAGGTACATATTATTATGTTTCTAAGAAATCTGGAACTAGGTTAGATCTATAAATCTAATAGATATAACTATTACGATACTGTAAATAGTTGAAGTCTAGTCTATTCTAACCTTATTCTAGTTGATTATTACTTATATGTCTTATGCGCATGGCATATATGCATAGTTGCGTCGGTTGCGGCCCGGAGGTTAAGATGAGGGTGCGGATTCGGAACCTACCAACGGCAATTACCAATGTGACATTTTCCAAATCATATATACTTCCAAACGGTAAAGAAAAACATCTTAAGGAAACCTGGACTTATAATTTCTAATTATAAGTTTGAAATCGCCAACCTGCAATGAGCAAGCGTGGTGATTAATGCTCAAACCTTCTCCGTGTGAGCAGAAGCTTTACTCAGTAGTGGTCACTTATATACTTATGCAGTTAACGGAAGATTTGCTTTGAAGACTTTTCCACCATCAATCAAGGACTTAATGACTCGAATTTAATGATACGTTTATATTATTATGAAACCATTGATGACACGTACTTACTATGTACTTTGAATTTTCTATCTAGATACCAAATACTACCTAAATTGTATTGTATCTTTCGTGAGACATACTAAATAAATTATTATGTTTTCGGCTTACTCTACAGTACTGCTACGGTACAGTAGCAGCGCGACAGTCGCCTCGTCGCGGGTTGCGAAATGCTGCTCATGAATATGAGCCTCTAGCATGGTTTGAAACTAGTCGAGTTCGTCGTCAAATTATCACGTGAGTAAGCCGAAAACATAATACAATATCTGAATTCTTGCATTCATGAAGTCGGTTAAAAATCAACAACCACACATCAGTGCAACCTCAGAAACTTTCTTTTGCGTGTATAATAGAAAGACAGGTTTTACTAGAAACCGAACACGTAGGTACACACGGCTACACATCGAGCTTTCATAACCAGTATAAACTGAACGTTAAATGTGCGGAAAGATGATGCGACGCGACACCAAGATAAACTGGTTTTGTATAGATTGATGTGTGGCCGTGTATACAAGCCGTACAAGGTACATGAATGTGTGAAAAACCACTTAAAACGAATAGCTACGCAAAGAGAATTACAAACACTTCTTGGAATGTCGACTTACAGTGTTACAAATAAAACTTACGAAATACATTTTAGTTTAGTTTTCACTGACCTGACATCACATGAATGCCAATGTGACTAGAACGTTACTCTTGAAGATTTAACAACTGTTAGGAATTTTTTAGTTACCGTATGTGTTAGGTACGTAACCAGTAAAGATCTCAGTTACGCGCGAGACGCGACGGTGAGCGAACGCGCTTAGTGACCAGTCCCGCGTTCATACGATATATTTTTTATTCAACTACCCTCAGTAATATCATATTACATAAATGTTTTTATATCATGAGCAGTATTGGAGAAAATATGGAGTTTTGTGACTCCAGTGGAAGTGATATAATTGAAGAAGAGATTGGAAAGAGTGAGCAACAAGTTTGTACAGAATTAAATAAAAATAAACAAAATGAAGAACACACAACGCTAAGTCAAAGAGTGGCGGAAAAAAGAACAAGAGAGGATAGTGAAGAGATAATTGAAGAAGATGAGGGCTTTATCACAGTCAGAAGAGGCAAAAAACCGGTGAAAAATAACCTTTCTAGAAACCCGGATAATACTAACATGAAGGCCGTGGATATGAGAAACAACAGAAATGACATACCAATGGTCATGATAACATCGAAAGAAGTTTTACCTAAGCAGTTTGGAATGGCAAAACTACTGCGAGCCGAAAATATACAAGATGTCTCAAGAATCAAATATAAAGGAGCTTATAAAGTACTGATACATTTTGAAAATAGAGAAAGTGCTAGAAAGTTAATTTGTTGTGAGAAACTTATAAGTTTAGGGTACAGGTGCCAAATGATTGATGAAATAAATCTGTCATATGGGGTACTACGCGAAATAGATTCAGATATGGAAGATACAGAGATCGCTGAATGTTTGACTTGTGACTACGAGATAATATCGGTGAGACGGCTGAAACGTTTAAATGACCTAAACGAATGGATAAATAGCGGAACTATTAGACTATGTTTTAAAAGTTCCACTTTGCCCCCGTACGTATACGGGTACGGGTGTAGGTTTAAAGTGGAACCGTACACGTTTCCTGTGTCTCAGTGCTCAGGATGTTGGAAATTTGGTCACCTTTTAAAATTCTGCCCTACCAAAAAGATTATATGTCCGAAATGCGTTGGCCCCCATGAAAATTGTGAAGTCTCAGAGTTTAAATGCGCTAATTGTAAGGGTGCTCACATGGCCCTAGATAAATCCTGCCCTATGTTTATCAAAGAAAAAGAGATTAGAAAGATTATGTCCAGCCAAAACTATACTTACCGCAAAGCCCTATCAGTATGGCTAGAAGTTAAAAAATCACAGAGGAAAGAGACTGATAATATGGAGAAGATAGATTATATTACCGATAAAAAGTTAGTAACAACGAATAAAATGCTAGATCAGTCAAAATCGTACAGAGATGTAGTTGTTAACAACTCTTTTGATAGGCTAAAGGTGAATGATGAGAAGATACACATGAAAAATTTTGAGGATGAAGGAAATGACACCGATTGTTCACAGATTCAACGCAAAAAAAAGAAGAAGATGAAAAGAAAGAACCAGAATAACCAAAGTTTTGAAGAGTACGCATCTGAAGTAGAACACGAATCTGAAACCTATGCCCGTAAAACCTACCGGAGAAGACATGAGAATACGATTTTCAAGAAACTCGTGAGTAGAATAAAAGACATTTGCTTTTCAAGTAACTGCTTTGAAGATAAAATAAAAATGTTTTTTAATTGTGTCGTAAAGGAATGTATAGAGTATATTTTTGAACTAGTACAAAAACAAGAGGTATTTACAAAATTAATCTCCTTATTTATAAATGGGTAATATACAGAAAGATTTTGATTTGAATATAATACAATGGAATGCGCAGAGCTTAAGACCCAAACTCGTAGAATTAAAACTTTTACTAACCCATAATAAAGTGCACATAGCTTTGATTTGTGAGACCTGGTTGGAACCTGACTCTAGCTTACACGTAAGTGGTTACCATCTATACCGTAATGACCGATATGATGGATATGGAGGTGTTGTTATCATGGTGCATAACTCAATAAAAGTACAAGAATGTAATATAGAGCTCACTAATAGTGGTATAGAAGTGGTATGTATAAAATTACTAAATTGTAGTAAAATTAAATATGTAATGCTAGTGTATTGTCCATCATCTGTTCACACTATCCAGTCCGACTGGGATAACCTTTTTTCAACTTTCACGCGCAATTGTTTGATATTTGGTGACTTTAATGGTCATCATACAAATTGGTCCAACAAAAATGACACTAGGGGGCAACAGATATACGATGCAGCCTTGGAACATTTTGTGTCAATAAATGATGGTCAACCAACTAGGGTTAAATTAGTAAATAATTTCTTACAAAAAACATCGCCAGATGTATC